GATCGAACCTGTGTCTCCTGAGTCTTCTGCACTGGCTGGCAGATTCTTTACCACTGAGTTACCTGGGAAGCCCAAGGACATTTTAGAATCTGGGGAGGCCTCCTCTGACCTCGTAAGCTAAAGAAGATACCCAGACCTTCTCTACCCCGGCACATCTCTGTAAGTGCTTTCTTGTCTGTCTCCCTGTCTCCTCTTTTCCCGCTCCCCTGTTCTCTTCCCAGAAAACAGGTCAGTGAACAAGACAGTCAAGTCCCTGCTTTCCTGGAAGAGAACAGGGGAGGGGGAAAGAAGAAGAGAGGGAGACAGACAAGAAAGAAGCACTTACAGAGATGTGCTATGCGGTCACAGCAGAGAGATGGGGTAGAGAAGGCCTGGGTGTCTTCTTTATTAGCTCACGATGTCAGAGACGGCCTCTCCAAAGAGATAGTGTTTAAACTGACATTTTAAAATGACAGGAAGAAGCAGGACAAACAAAGATCAGAAGGAAGAACATTCCAGGCAGGTTAGTATAGAAGTCAAAGATGGGAAAGAGCGTGGCATGTTCCAGAAATAGAGACAAGACCAGTGTGACCTGAGCACAGTGGGCGAGAAGGGGACTGGTCTGAGGAGCTGGCCATGCAGGCCCCTGTGAGATGCAGGTCGGAGTGGCAGTTTGGGGTGCAGTGTGCGCATGTAGATGGTGGTCCTTGTTGAAGGAGGGCTTCTAGTTAGGAGGCTTCTGAAGAGGTCTGGGCAGGAAGCCATGGTGGCTTGGACTAAGATGTAGTAGAAATCATGAGAAAAGGCTCGGCTTTGATTTAGGGAATATAGTTTAGAACCAGTCACCAGAACTTGCCTGTGGTTTGGATGTCAGGAATGAAGAGAGAGGAATGCAGTGATCAAGAATGATTCCAAAGGTTTGGGCTTGGGGAACCAGGAGGGGGGATGACAGACACGAGGATCCAGGTGCTCACTGACGGTCACAGCTGGCCAACCATGAACCCACATCTTGGGGATCCAATCAATGCCCTCACCAAGCCCCTCACCTTGCATCACTGGGGAATATTCGCAGACCTTTGGAAATCCTTGCTTGTTTACTTCATTACTGCTACAGCATTTTTTTTTTGTCTTCTCCTTTTAGTTTTTATTTTATGACATCAAAAAAATCCCATTCAAGTTACTAATCAGCCCTGATATATCCCTCGTGAGTACTCTATAAATGTTAGTTCATACCCAGGTTTCCCTCCTCAGCACTTTGTTGGGTACTCTGGGCCCGGGCATGGATGTCGGGTGTGGGCCTGAGATCTGCCCATCTGATCGGAAGCTAACAGCTGGCACATATGCTTCTGACAACATGCCTTGTTTATGTACATGGAAACACTGTGACTCATCATCTTGTCTTTCTCTTTTTAATCAGAAAAATTTTTTGAGCTCTCTTAAATAACAAACTGATTTAATCCAGTTATTTCTTTATTATAATGCTGACATTTTCTACTTTTGCCTTAAAAATATTGTGGGGCTTCAGTTTTCTTGTCTCTACAGTGGGGATAGCAGTAGAGTTGTTGTTCATGGGTGTTTGGTGAGGATTAAGTGAAATAACGTATATAAAGTGCTGAGCACAGTAGCTGTATGTAGCAGTCAATAAACTAGAGGTATTATTATTAATAAAATAATTATCTGGGGGAGGGAAGGATGGCTTCCAGAACCTACCCACTGGTTTTAGTATTCCAATTAACCACACCAAGAAAATAGAGCCGTATGTTGATTTACTAACTCCCTGCATGACTTTGGACAAAACCTGTAATGTCTTTGGATCTCCGTTTTCTCAAATAAATGAGAGAATAAAAATCAGTAACCTCAATTTAAAAACTTTTGTGATTCTAGGAGACGATCTCTATTTTTCCTCTCCAATCTTCCTTTCAGTGGGCTTATCAAAAAGTTGTGTCTTTTTGTGTAGATTAGTGTGTGTGTATGTGTGTTAGTTGCTCAGTCATGTCCAACTCTTTGTGACCCCGTGGACTGTAGCCCGCCAGGCCCCTCTGTCCATGTAATTCTCCAGGCAAGAATACTGGAGTGGGTTGCCGTCCCCTTCTTCAGGGGATCTTCCTGACCCAGGAATCGAACCGGGGTCTCCTGCAGATTTCTTACTGTCTGAGATTAGTGTAAGTGATACTTATTGCCAGATGTAACCTTTTGTTCAGCACATTGTAGAATCCCAACGTTGATATCACTTTCTATAAATACAGATTTCGGGTGAGGAAATGTTCTAGCTCAAGAGAAGTTTAGCTCTTGAGGCTCTTTCTCTTTTTAGACTCTCAGTCCATGGGCTATTACTCACTGTTGGCCTTCTTCCGCAGTCTCACTTTGTCACCTTCTTCTTTCATGATCACTGCTGTTGATAGCCACCTACAGCTTCTGAGCCCCCTGCTCAGCCTTCCCTGGTGCTTGGTATTGCATCTGAGTTGTGCTTTCTTGCTTCCTTTACCTTTTGAAATTTAAAAATAGAAAAAAAAAAAGAACCTGCAGTCTTTCACATTGTCTGAACTCTGTGATTCACCCAGCAGATTTTCTGGTGAGCTGCACAGTATAACACCTCTAGTCAGAAATGTGCTATCTGTTCAGAATGAGCCCTGTAAGAAGTGGACAAAGAGGTGCTTTTATTTTGACTGTCAAACACATAATTCAAAAGGGACCGCGGCAGCCCCCGGAGGCGGCTTTGGAAAGTAAATTGAAGAATCAGAAGAGCTCCCAACCCTGCCCTTTTGACTTTCTCCTTACCTGCCCAGCTTTCTTGAGCCAACCTGAAGAATCACTGGGTTGATAAAAAGACTCTCTTAAGAGTCTGACTCTTGTGCTGTTAATACCAACGATAGGTCTTGGGAAGCCCAGAAACTCTTCATAGATCTTAGGAAAATTATTTCAGGAGCCCCAGCTCATATCACAGCAAGCATGCTAAACTTTGGCAACCTCCACATTCAATATAATTTTATTGCTGGCAACATTTTTGAACATATTTTTATCCATATAGTTTTGGTTTGGAAAAAGTTTGGCTCCAAATAAGTGATTTAGCCTATAATTGGCTATTAATTTCTGAGCAATTATCTCCACATACTTGGGAGTTATTAAATTAATACTGAAATCCAGCCTACATATTGCTTCCAAATGAAATATTTTTGATGACCAAATCAACTGTTAATGAAGTTAACCCAACATTACATTTTGTAGACCTTTAAAACTCATTAATTTCAGTTTTTTGTAGTAATCCTGCTTTGAATCCAATATGTGGTTTTCAAGATCTCAGACATTTTTATAGCCCCTTGAAAAGCTGAGAGGGGCCAGGCACTGTACCTTAACCACCAATGGTTAAAAGAAAATGTTCCGTCCAGGAAGTCCTAAGCTCCAAGGGCGTCCCTCTTGCCTTCTTCAAGGAGTAACAACTGTTTGGGGACATTTCTCTAAGAAAATACAACAAGCTGGCATATAAATAGCACTAGTCACTAAAGCAGAAAGAAACCCCCGCCAGAAAAACCAGAGTAACTGGGGGCCGAATGCCTGAGTTTCAGTCGTAAGTTCACTGGTGACCTTGAGCAGGTGCTCCGCAGCCCTCTTCTGTCCCCAAGGGTGCTTTTCCAGAAGACACTTCATCTGGCAGAAGGGGAAGGCCAGGGCCAGCAGTTCTAGGAATTAAAAGTTGTGCAGAAGCATCTCAGTTTAAGAAAAGGGTTTCCCTCACACATTAAAGACGAGGCATTTTTTTAAACATCTGTATTATTTTCCCAGAATGAAAGGAGGAAAGGAAGGGAGAAAGGAGAAAAGGAGGAAGAAGGACTACACTGTCACACTTGGGTTTAAAACACTACTGATCTTTGATTTCTGTGCAAAATGACAAGTTCCCTTCTTCAAAAAGAAAGGCTTTCGTGTGAGATTCTGTCAGTACCCCCATTCAAATGTCATGTATTACCTAGTTTCCCTTGGTGAAGGGCAACCATGAAAAGTACATACATTTCAGAATCAAATATGTTACATTCAAAGCCAACCCTACCATGTATTCGCTCTGCAGTTCCCAAAGTGTGGGCCAGGAGCCCTTTGGGTACTCGGGGAGACTTTCAGGGTACCCATGAGGTCAATATTATCTTCATAATAATATTAATATGTCATGTGCCCTTTTCACCCTCTTTCTTTTCATAGGTGAATTTTTCCCAAGGCTGTGTGATGCAGTATCACGACAGACTGGATGAATACACAGATATCAAAGCCCAACTGTCTTCTATTAAGTCGCATATTAAAGATATTTTCAAAAATACCTTATCTCTTAACTTTTTTGTTACCCTAGAAAATATAATTATTTTTAATTTTTTTAGATATCATGTATGTTAGCTTGTCATGGGGTTATTTTTAAATTTATTAATAAATGCATCTTTTAAAATTCCTCAGTCTTAATAATGTCTAACGTGGCAAATCTTGATAAATATAACCCACATTTTAAAAGTGTATTGGCGTCCTCAATAATTTCTATAAGTACAGAAGGGTTCTCAGCTCAAAATTTGAGAATCCCTGTACTATCCAACAGTAATTACCATTTATTGAATGTGTCTTTGTGCCAGGAGCTGTGCAGAGCACACAAAATTCTTCACCTCTTAATCTTTGCAATGAAGTTATAAAGTAGAGAAGTTAAAAAACAAAGACCTTGCTAGCCCGAGGTCTCACAGCTGGAAGTGACAGAGATAATCAAGTCCTTCTGACTCCAAAGCCACATTCCTGATGACTGAACAGTCCTCCCCCGCAGAATCATTCTCGGTGACTCTGAAAAAGTTATTTCACTGCTCCAAGTTTATTTCCTTACCAAACATGGGCAGAGCCCCATCTCCCCCTGCAGAAGAGTTAATATGCACCCTAGCACCTAGCACAGGGGTGCACACTAAAGAGACCCTGAAAATCTGTCAGCCTCCTTCCTCCCATCCATTCCTGTCCTTGGCACATTAGAGCAGCAAGACTCACCAGCTTCCCTTTTCCCCCTCTAGACGGTCTTCAAGGAGACAGAGAGGCTGACAGCACAGAAGGACTTGATGAAGATATGATTGTGACTCAAAGTCAGACCAACTTCATCTGCCCCATTACACAGGTACTGTTAACACTTTGCTTCATAGAGGCAAAAAGTTCCCATTTGCTTTCTGACTTCATTTCCTGTCTGGAGTTGACGAGGGAGGAAAGGAAAGTGGTGAGGGTCGAGGAGCAGACCTGGGAAAGAGTTTGTAGGCCATGATGTCCTTAGGGATCTATGAGTATATTCCTGCCCCACTGGCCAGGTGCCATTGAGGCCTCTGGTCTCCCTGAATTTTCTGCTATGGCCCTCTGCCCTGAGAGTTACGTAGAGCCACGAGATGGGGAGGTTAAACCTCGGGAGCCCCAGGTCTAGGTGACAGCAGTGCCAAATAATCGGTGACTTGAAGAAGTTACTGGAAGCTGGTCATCATCATTCCTGAAAGCCTAATGTCTTCTTGATTACAGCTGGAAATGAAGAAACCAGTGAAAAATAAAGTGTGTGGCCACACCTACGATGAGGAAGCCATTGTTCGCATGATTGAGTCCAAGCACAGGCGGAAGAAAAAGGCCTGGTGAGTTGCTGCAGGAAGGGAAGTGGTCCTTCCCAGGGGTGGTCAGTCCCAGGCAGTGTGTTCATGCTGGAGGGAAAGCTGCTTCAACAACTCCCCTGAAATCCATTCACCCGGAGGGATAGTATAAACATGGAAGCTGGTTTTCAGGAAACACAACACATAAGGGGAAAAATTAGTAATCTGTTTGGGAAGAAGCTGAAGGAGCTTCAAACACACTTTCAAAATACAAGAAAAGGAAGTTGGATGTAATTCTCATCATTAGATAACAGGAATTTTTATAAATTTGTGTGTGCTATGCATGCTAAGTCACTCCAGTCATGTCTGACTCCTTGTGACCCTGTGGGCCTCAGCGTGCCAGGCTCCTCTGTCCATGGGGATTCTCCAGGCAGGAATACTAGAGTGGGTTGCCATGCCCTCCTCCAGGGGATCTTCCTGACCCCGGGATTGAACCCACATCTCTTATATCTCCTGCATTGGCAGGCAGGTTCTTTACCACTAGCACCACTTGGGAAGCCCTGTATGTGCTGTAGCCTGAAAGAAATAAAGGAGAACTGTGATGCTGAGAGATTTCTTTTCCCCTTTCTATATGTCCTAACCCAAATAAGAAGGAATGGTTTAAAAAAATTTTTTTTTTCATTCTGCAATACAGATAGTTTGTTGTAAAAAGTATTAAGTTGTCATTCTAAGAATTCATATGCACTGGTCTTTTTTTTTTGGCTGTGCCTCACGGCATGTGGGGTCTTAGTTCCCAGACCCCGTGCCACCTGAAGTGGAAGTGTGATGTCTTATCCACTGGACCACCAGAGAAGTCTTGGTTTCTGTTGGTCTTGATGATCAAAATTTGATTGTCCAGGAAAAACTTTCATATCTTTAATTATGTAAATAACTTCGTGAACAGTTTAAGTAAATTCATGGATGACTTCAATGAGAATTTTCTTTTTAATTGGAATGTTTAGAGAATCTTTTACATATATATATATACACACACATATATATATGTATATATATATATATTTTTTTTTTTTTTAAAACCCCTTTCACACACAAACACACACAGAGCTCTGTTCCTGCAATGACATAGAACCCTGAGTTGGCTGGCCTGGCTTTGACTTGGTTGGCATTTCTCGCGCTCTTATCACAGATTTGAAGGAATGGAATTGCAGGTGTGACCAATTCTCAGTGGACCTTTGATAACAGTCCCTTTGATGTGTGGCTTTGCTTCTCCATCATCCAGAAATTTTCTGTTCCAGACCTAAATTGGAATTCCCCACCACTCCTCATCTGGGTGTGGATTTAGAGATAGGGCATTTGCAACTGTAAATATCTTAATGGTCATTCAGTCAAGTTAATTTGCCCTATTTATTCTGGAAAACCTGCCTAATGGTTGCAAAATCGAGATTGTTTGAGTACATTTTTGTCTGTTTTGACTTTCCAGCTTATAATTGAGACGTCCCATTTCCCTAGGGAACCTTCCATTTTCCCTGTGAGTGTAATTTTCTTTGTTTTTGGACGTCTAAGCCTTCTGTGTCTCCTTTTTTTTTTCCTATGTTTATTCTCTGAAAAGCAAAATTTTAATTTGTTAACATAACTACTAAGAATAGGCCTTCCCAGATAGTTCTGTTTCACAGCTCTTCTTCTTAAAGTTTGTGATATTCTCCTCAAGTCAGATTTGGAAAGGACAGGTACTGATAACAAAGCACATTTCTCCCAAGTCCCAGGATGGGTGGGAGCAACTCCCAGAACAGGCTCGCACTGAAACACATCTTCTTGATTACATACTTTGACTTTCTAATGTCCTTTGCCTTTTCTGAATTGTAAATGATGTTTGGAAGCTATTGAGTAACACCCAGCGTTTGGAAAGTGTGGGTATTTTTCTGCCATACTTTTCTTTAAGTTGGATGCAGATTCCACAAACACTGCAGATTCTCATAGCTTAGTAATAACAGTGAAGTCCAAGGGGAGGACGTCTGGGAGGTTTACAGCAAAGGTAGTATTTTTGCTGGGCCTTGAAAAATGAAAAGGATTTCAGAGAAGGGTGAAGAAGAGTCTTTTCCAGCCCAGAGGCTCACCACATTCAGAGTCTGTTCCACTTGGGGAATAGTAGATACAGGTGCAATTATTGTTTGTTAGAGGGTGATGGGAAGGATGCTCTGGGCTCTAGTAAGAGGGAAGTGGTGTATGTGAATTCTCTCTATTCTGTACTCATCACAGAGGACATTAAATGTTATGATTTCATTAGTTTCCTCATCTATAAATTGATGGTCATAACTGTAAATTGCCTCAGTGGTATGTTTGAAATTTGAATAAGATATACAGAAAGCCCTGAAAGCACCTGTCACGTGGTAAGTAAACATTATCCCATCCTCCTCATCTTTCTTGCCATCACTGTTCTGTAGGGTTTTGAGGGAATATGCTAGTCAACCTGGGTTTTAGGAAGTTACTCCAGTAGCAATTTAAGGGATGGATGAACAAAGGCCTGAGGTGAAGATGTCAGTTAGGATGCTGTGGTAGTAGTTGAGTTATAGATCATGAGCGCTGGGATTGAGACCAGAGTCACAGGTGGAAGGGCATTGAGGAGAAGATGATTGTGGAGGTACGATGGACAGAATTCTGTAACTGAAAGCTGGAGGGAACAAGTGGAAGGATGACTGACATGCCTAAACGGGGTGTCTAAAAGGATGGTGATGTCATTAGCCAATGGAGGGGGTGTAAGAGGAACGCATTTAGGAAGGATGGTAAGAGGGTCATGCCAAGTTTGAGGTCCCTAGCAATACAGCCTGAAGTATCCTCCTCCTCCTCCTGAAGTATCCATGAGGTGCAGAAAATGTGGGTGTTTGACTTCGGGAGAAGCTCTGAGTGAGATGTTGATCAACAGATTATTGATGCAGAAGAGTCAGACCCACACATCTGCCAGGTGCAGCTCTGGACCAGATGTGATGGCCAGCCAAGAGCCCCCAGGATGGGACCTTAGCCTGGCTCTGAGCAACGTGAAGCCAGGATGCAGCTCTGCTCTGCTTACTGTGTTCCCAGAGCACCTGATGGAGGCCCGCAAAAAAAGCATTCTGCCATTCTGAAAGGGCAGTCAGAGGAAGAAGATTCCAACAAAGCAGTCTGAGACGTAGCTGGGAGAGAGGGAAAGAGAGGCTAGAGAGTTGAGCTTCACAGGAGCCAGTGGCACGGGGGCGAGGGGAGTCAGGGTTGACAGGGCCTTGAGGATGAGCTATACTGCATTTGGCAGCAGGTTGGAATCCAGGGCCTCTTCAAAACCTACCCCAGAGGTTCCTGATGAAGTAGGAATTAGTGTCATCTCCCAGGATGCATGTTTGGGCGATGAGCACTTCTGGGTTCGCTTTGTTTAAAAATGTCCATGACACATTCAGTTTGAGAAATCTCAGTTTCTCAGTTCTTCCTCCTGTTGGCTCCAACTCTGACTTCCTAGACAGGAGTTCCAGGTGCACTGTGTTACTAGCACTGACTCCCTTTTACTGTCTGTGAGGTCTCTTGACACATCTCTCTGCATGGGCTTAAGTCAGAAGAAAACCGCTGAGACTTTAGCCCTAACTAAATACTGTTAGTTAAAATAATTTCCTAAAGCAGATCTCTGAATAATCAGTCTGTTTATTATCTTACTAATAAAACTGCCTCATGATTTTCACATGAATAAGATACTTCCAGTTTTCCATAGTCATTTCTTTGCTTTCTGGTTTAAGAACAGAGACTGTATTAGCAAACAGTCACATTTAAGAGCGTGGAGAGGACAGTTAGGTTGAATAGAAATGTGTCGTTGAATAGCAGCACTCCAGCAATGTGCTTAGAGGCCCTATTTTAACCATGAACCAACCACTGACCTCTCAGAGTCTCAGTGTCTTCATCTGTAAAATGAAAAGAGCACCATCTCACAGTATTTCAGGATCAAAGGGACAGTGGGGAATTCCAGTCTAGGTCTGCACCAGCAAATTTCTTGGCAATGGAGAAGCAAACCACTTAGAAGAAAGCTCTTTTTCGGCCTACAGAGCGCTAAACAAATAGCAGCCGGGTTACTGAGGTCGAGACTGTTCATGTTTGTATTACTTACCTCACTGCTTAGTGACACATCATTTCAGACGCAGAGGATGTAGGCTCGAGTTACCCTCTGGGTTTAGGTATGATGAGAATCCATCCTGCTCACATTTCCAGACCTGCTTTCTAGAGCTGGGTGGACCCTGGAATGCTTGGGGCCCAGACCCAGGAGCTCGTAAGACCCACAATCCTGTACATTTTTGCTAATGCTGAGGCCAAGGTTCCCCACAGCCTCTGGGACTCCTGAGACCCAGGTCCCTTTGTTCAGTAGACACACGCTTGCCCACTGCTGTGCTGGAATGTTCTGCCCTGTCAGTGACCCGAGTTTAGGACCCAGAGTCTCCTCCCAGGCCTGTAGGCTTGACTCCTGCACAGTGATGACACGAGGGCTTAAGACGGGTGTGGCCACACCTACCTAGCTCACCAGGATGTCGTGGGGATGAATGCACTAATGCTTATAGAGTGTTCTTTCTCCAGAGGAGGAGCGCCCTGATTCAGTATCACGTCATTATGAACCTTGTCTTTTCCTCTTCAGTTTAGAAACTGGTGTGTGTTTATTTGAGATGGGGTGAGAAACAAGGTTCTCCTGCATCAACCTCTTCTCCAGGAAGCCTTCCCAGAACCCTCATTCTTGCTGCACAAAGTGCCCCGTCCCCTTGCTCCCACGGCACCTCTGCATTGTGGCATGTCGGCCTCCCACCGGCACTGTAGGTGGGGCTGGCTCTTCTCCGCAAGGTTCTTGAGAACAGAAATTGTGTCCTAGAGCAGGAACCGGCTTACTGAGCGCCTGCGTGAATTCCTGGACCCTTGTCACACGGCGTCCCACTCATTTCTCACAACAGCCCTGTATGCTCCGCCTTCCTAGGAGAAGAGCCTGAGGCCCATTACTGATGACACTTGCCCAGAGTGTCACAGCCAGGAGGCTGGAGCCCAGCTCTCATTTACTCCTGAGCCTGTATTTGTGTCTCTAAGCCGTCTGGCTCCCCTCGAGAGGGTTTTTGGGTTAATGCCTCTGTCCCCCGATTGAATCCCCTAAGTGCGCTCAGCCCTCTTTGTCTGACGTGGGTAACCCTGGGATGGTGTGCAGCCAGCTCTGCCGCTGAGCAGTGTGGTTAATCCCATCACACATTCTCAGAATGCTCTCAGTTACTGACTCAAACCACTGATGTCATCAGGAAGTCCTCCCCACCTCACTCTCCACTTCCCTAAAACAGCTTATTCACTGTCTGGCTATTGGTGTTAAAGACTTTGTCCTGCGGAGGGGAGGCGGTGGGGGGAGCTGGTTGGGGGGGGGGCGGGTACTCCAGCCAGGCAGGGCAGTCAGAGCAGATGATCAGCCGGGTTGATAAGCATTAGCTTGAGGGTCATCTCAGCCACTGAGTTCAAGCTGCATCTCCATGTCGCAGAAGGTCAAGTGGTGAGAAACGCCTTTTCCAAAGTCAGGACAGCGTCTTTTCATAATCTCAGCTTATTGACTTTCATACTGAAAGAAAAAAGTCACTCTGAGACCTCGGGGTGTTTTAAATCAGTGTAAAGCCCTTCTCAAGTACCTCCAAGCCACACCCTGACACGAAGCCAAGTCATCATACCTGGCCCAGTCACCCCCATCCTCTTTCACATGGTCACCTTTCTAGCCTCACATTTTAACACAAGTACCTGACCATACAGGACACATTTCAGTAAATATAAATATTGCTAGCAAGCATATGATTCATTACATTGATTCATGCTCCTCTCATAGAAAGATGCCTTGGTCCAGAAATTAAGACCAAGAAAAAGTCTCTTCTGTGTTATACGGTTGAGCTCTCTACTGCTGGACAGATGAGACCTCACATGATCAGCTTTCTTCCCCTTCTGGTTTATAACTTTTGTCTTGTGTTTGTTATTTTTGATCTGTGCTTTTTGGAGGGTTGTCTCAGATCACTGGGCCAGAGCTCTGTGTGGGGCAGGAACCTGTATTTGTATTTTACAGCTGAATGCTTCGAACCCTTCATAGGGCCACTCACATAGAGGGTCAAATGAATGCACGAATGCGCACATGTCTGTGTTGGAGATATGCAAGCTCTATAGACAGTGAAGGGAATGAACGCTACTGAGTGCTGAAGCTGGGATTCTGCGCCTTCTGTAAATCTGAGGATGCAGAGGCTCCAAAAGTCAAAGCGAGCTCCTGGTGGTCTCATAACAAGTGAGTAGGCATGGAGACCTAGGTCGGCTTTGACTCCAAAACTGGGCACTTTACTCTGCCCAAGTCTGGTTCATGTTGAGAAGAAATCAGGTGACTTCATCCAGCCCACTGCCTTCAGAGGAGACCACATCTAAACAGAACCATGACTCACCCACTGATTTCTTCAGCCACAGCTCTTCCCCTGAGTCCCCATCAGCCCACTCAGCCTCTCCACTGAGAGGACTGGTGGGCATTTCAGAGAGAATATGTAGCAGCCAGGACTCCTGCCTAATTCCATCCCAACCTAGTTTTCCAGTTGTTTCCATGGAGATAAAGGGTACCACCAAGGCCCTTCAGCTCAGGCCAAACTCTGAACAAAGCTCAGCTCTTTGCTTTACCCTCCACATCGGGTCCGTCAGCAAGACCCCTGGGTTCTACTTCCGGCTGTATCTGGAAGCTGCACCCTCATCCAAGCTGCCCTTTCTCTCCCAGCTGCTGCATGACCCCCTCAGTTCTCTGCTTCCCCTCAGCCTGTGTCCACATTAAACAGCCAGAGTCATGTTTTCTAAATGTATGCTAAATTTCATCCCTCTCCTATCTCACCACCTCGAGGGTTTTTATATTTAAAATAAAATCCAAAATCCCACACACTTCCAGTCAAATCTCCAAATGCCCTCCCTCTTGCCCTGGGTGTTCCAGCCACATTGGCATCGCTCTTATACCAAGCAGCTGCCTCCTCAACTGCTGCACATGCCAGGCCCCAGCCCCGGCCACATGCAGCCTTTGTTCTATTGATAGATAAGCCCTCCCCAGCGAGCCCTGCCTGACCCTGCTAGATAAGCCCCTTAGCTCACTCTCTCTCCCTTGACCCTGCTTTCTTAGCCCTTGTGGCACTTAAAGACGCTGTGCAGCAGGCTAGCAATGGCTTCTCTCCCCCACTGAAAGTGAGTACCGTGAAGTGGGCATTGCCCTGGCCCCGGTGCTGGACAGACCCTGGCTTAGGTGGGCACTCGGTGAACAAGTGAATGAGCGCACATCAGTCCTGACTTTTTTAATGTGCCCCCCTTTTGGTAAAATGTCCACACTTAAATACTACTCAGCCATAAAAAAAGAATGAAATTTTGCCATTTGTGGCAACATGGACGGACTTGGAGGATAATTCTGCTAAGTGAAATTAGTCAGAGAAAGACAAACTGTATGATATCATTTATCTGTGGAATCTAAAAGTAGAACAAACTAGTGAATACAACAAAAAAGAAGCAAACTCACAGAGAGGACAGACCAGTGGTTATCAGTTGTGGGGGCTGGCGTGATAGGGGTTGAAGGAAAAAAGGCAGGGGCGGGGGTGGTTATTATGGGATTATGAGAAATCATCTGTGTGAAACTTTTGACAATTGTAAAACCCTATAGAATTGAAAGAATTTTTCATTCAGTTTTTTTTTTTAAAGTGTGCTCTTAAATTCTTGCACGGAGAGAAGTTGATTCTGAAGGCATTAAGGTGAAGCGGCCTGACTTGATTTTCTCATCTCTCACAGTTGCCCGAAAGTCGGCTGTAGCCAGATAGACATGAGAATATCGGACCTCATCCAGGATGAGGCGCTGAGAAGAGCAATTGAGAACCACAACAAGAAGAGACGTCGCCAGTCCACCTAGGAAAGCCCCCTGCCTGCAGGGGACTCCGCAGCCTACCTCCTACCCCAGCCATCCGTAGAGAGTGATGCTTCTCAAAGCACTTCGACTGGCTGCATAGCATACTTTGGGGTAAATTTGAAGGTTTTAGTGTATTTGAAAGCATTTTTCTATGTTCCAATAAACATTCAAGTCTATTTTATTGTTTATTTTTAAGTGTTCTGTAATTTTAAATAAAACTTTGATTATCTGTGTGTGTTGTATGTGTGTGCCTCCTGAGGTGTAAATGGTTCCAGTGGTATAGGCTGGGTGGTGGCGGGCTTCTCTATTTCTAATCCCTCAGACTGTTTTTTATTATAGTTTTAACAAACAAGCAAAAAAAAAAAAAATGTTTTTTGCAAGAGATGTTTGAAATGGAAACACATCAAAACACCCTAATTGCAAGTATTTTCTATCAGGATAGTAAAGAATAGCATGAAGGCATACAGCAAAGCCAGTTTCCTTACCTATATTTACTTTGTGTATTGACAGTTCCAAATATGTAAATGCTCTTATTTGTCATTCTGATGAGCACGGACTGCTTCAGTAGCTGGCTTATCAGTGCAATGATAACTGATGCCTTAATGGAAACTTTGCTGCAGCCTTCTGAGAGCCTAAAGCGTTGTCGGAAGCAACCACATCCTGGCCGTTCTCTGCCTTGCTCCGTGGCTTTCATAAGTGCCTTCGACCCCCTGGGCCTGGGATCTTCAACCACAAAATAAAGATATTAAATAAGATGTTCTCTGCCATCCCTTCAGCCCTACAAGTCTGTAGACTTATGACCAGCAAGGTCTTTAAATTGAGTATCATTGATTATATTCTATTTATATGAAAAAGACTAATCTATTCATAGTGGAGGGACAGGGAAACCTGGCATGCTGCAGTCCGTGGGGTCCCAAAGAGTCAGACGTGACTTGGCAACTGAACAACAACAGCAGCCTTTTAGCAACGAGAATAATCAACAAAACCCAACGACGCATGCCCCGACTACACTAGAAAACCCAGAAGAACTAACAATGGCTAGCATTTATTGAGCGCATAGTGTGTACCAGGCACTATTTCAAGCACTTCACATATATGAAAATATTAACTCGTAATTTCCTCAGCCTGATGAGAGAGAGAGAGTTATTATTCCCACTTTACAAATAAGTAAAATGAGGCACAGAAATGAAGTGACCTGTGGAAAATCAAACTTAATAAGTGACTGAGCTGGGATAATGCAGTCATCTGGGTCCAGAGTCTGGATTCTTGGGGGAGTTTTTTCCCTTTTAACTTATTGGCTGTGCTGGGTCTTCGTTGCTGGCTTTTCTCTAGTTGCAGCAAACGGGGGCTACTGTCTCATTGTGTGGCTTCTCTTGTAGAGTGCAGGTTTGCGCTCTAGCGCAAGTTGTGGCACATGGGCTTAATTGCTCCACAGTATATGGGATTTTCCTGGATCAGGGATCGAACCCGCATCTCCTGTATTGGCTGGTGGATTCTTTACCACTGAGCTTCCAGAAGCTCGGAATTCTTAATCACATCCTCTCCTCCTCCCTATTGATTTATTTAGGTTCTAAAGATATACTTCAAGTCTGCATTTAAAAACGAAACCTTTAAAACTAAAAAGAAAAAATAAAAATGAAACCTTTGTAAATAAACAAGATACATGCATTTGTGAAAAAAAACATTCACTAAAATGCAGGTAATAACTGGATTTGACATCTAATAGGCAGTAATGGCCATGAAATAATAACATATGTTTGAATTTCAAAGCATAGTCTAAAATGGCAGAATTAATTTGGGGAACACTCATGGAATTCAGAAAGGAGTATGACATTCAGTTGTCTACAAACTAAGTAATTTTGAGTTTCTTAGATGCGTTATCTGAATCAGACTTCCTGAGGAAATGATGATGTTTCAGCCAGAACAAACATACTTCTCGTGGAATGTGGTTCTTTTGTGAAATAATTTGTTTCCTAAACAGATAGAGACAAGCATGAAGTGGTTGCCTAAGGTTCAATTTATATTTTCTCCAACTCTTTCTAAAGAGAATTCCAGAAAATTGGTGTAGACATTTATACCAATTAGAAAAATGCAAACACCATTCTGCTATGGAAAAGTATTTGTATCCTGTAACATTTTTTCCTTCTTTATTCTTCAGAAACATATATACTTGTCCAACCAATTAACGAATTTGAAGTTTTGTATATAAAACTTCTTTTTATCTTTCACCACTTGGTTGTCATGATCAATCTGGTATATTTGTTAAATTTCCTTTATAAGAATTTTCCCAAAAAGTGAAGCTTTTTCTTCAAATGAAATTTTGTCTTATTGAGAAACCCAATAATATACAAAAAATGAAAGGGGGGCAAGAAGATGGTGGGGGTTCCATCCCTTTTTCCTAGAGGACCCCAGTCTTTTTTTTTTTTTTTTTCACTGCTGTGTTTGTTTTATTTTTGGCTGCTCTGAGTTTTTGTGGCTGCCTTTTTTTCTTTCTTTTTTGTATCTTTTGGCCACACTGCCAAGCAAATGGGTTCTGAGTTCCCAGACCATGGATTGAACTGGTGCCACCTGTATTGGAAGTGCGGAGTCTTAGGGAAGTCCCAGGAGCCCCAGCCTAATCTGAGATCCCATGAGTAGCATTTGAAAACTGCACCAGACATTGTAGTGAAATCATTTCATATATGACTGGTTTAGGACTTGGACAATTGTGTGAACATGGCATTTTTTAAAAAGTGCTAGTTCCTTTAAGAAATTTCCAATTGAGTAAGTTTAAAACATGACCACAAGCTCCAAACAATAAGAGAATTTCTCACTCACCATATATAGAACTTCAAACATGGAGTGTCCAGCCCGAAGCGACACCTGCACTGCTCCCAGCTGAAGTTTCCTGTGAGGAGAGAAAAATTGCAGGGCTCGGGAACTGAGGCCTCCGGGAACTGATGGCTGGCCACACACCAGGCTCAGGGCTAAGTGCCTTAAACATATCACCTAACCGAATCCTCCCAATAACCCTGGAGGGAAGTGTTATCGCCCCATTTTACAGATGAGGAAACTAAGGCTCGGAGTCAGTAAGTCATTAGCCTGAGGTCACTGGCTTGTGGGTGGTGCTGGTAGAGCTTATACTGGGACATAACCAGGAGTGCAGAGGGAGCACTCCAACCCACTAAGCTCCCTGTCCTGGTGCCGTGGAGGATGTCCGAATGGTCAGCGGACCTGCATTTCTATCCCACCGAACTGTGTCCCAGGTGAGTCCCATTTTCCAGGCGTTCGTGCATTTTGCATAGCCCAGTGCTTCTCCCTTCCTTCCCTCTGCAAACACACCCGACCAAGTCCAGGCCCTCCCTCCTGGCTTCCACTTAGGCTGGTCTCCCACCTCGCATCTGCCACCTCCCATGTTGATCTACAAGAATGCTGATTGGATAATCCTGCATCCTTTCCTACCAAGTGAACTTTAGGCCTGGCATTCAGGATTCTACCATAGTGCAGCCCCACTCTTATCTCCCCAGCTTCAGTTCACCTGCTCTCTTATGGCAGGGTTTCTTCCAGAAGTAATGGCATATTCCTGACCAGCACATACAATTGACCTTGGGCAAGTTGCTTTTCTGCTCCAGGCCTCAGATGTGTCACATAAACTAAAAGATTTGGACTTCTCCCCAGGGTTTCTTTAAGATTCCTAAGATTCCTATTTGATGAATCGGTCCTATGCAAACACTATGGCCCTTTAGAAGGAAAACAAACTGATTTTGAAATTAGAATATATTTGAACCCAGTGTGTATATTGCATCTTTAAGTATTTGTTCAAGAAACGCTTTTTAAGGCACTTTGTGACGTGTTTTGTGTTAGTCTCTTTGGATATAAAAAGTCCTTCTGAGAGGGTTTCTTGTTCAGTTGGGCTAGACAGATATGTACAAAAATAAACTCCATAAAAGGTTATATAAATGCCATGTCTAGGGGACAGTAGGACAAAGGAAATACAGGAAAATTATTAAGTAAAAATTGAATTTTAGTAAATCAGGTAACAAAATTCAAAACAAGTTTATCAAAAGCCTGTGAAACCTTTCGGCTGGGAGATGGGGTGAGGAGGGTAAATCCTAAGTGTGGGTTACCCAGTGGTCCGGGAAATCTGCTATGTTGTGGAAATCTGCCTTCAAGCTCGTGTGAAACGTCATGAAGGGGGTTAACTGTTCTGAAAAGAAGGCAGTTAAATTTGACTGGGGACAGGAATTCTCATACATTGCTTGTGGAAATGCAAATTGGTACAGTCACTGAAAGGTTTGGGTTTTTTTTAAAAAAGGTTACACATGAATTTACCACACAACACATTAATTCCAATCCTAGGGATCCACCCAAAAGAAGTCAAAACTGTGTTCACACAAAGTCTTGTGAATGAATATTCACAAGCAACATGCTTTATAATAGCAAAAAAGTGGAAGTGATCTGTATGTCCACCTGATGAATGGCTAAATAGAAGCCATGGAGCCATACAAGGAAATACTACTTGTGATAAAAGGGAATAAAGTATCAACACTTGGAACGTGGTTGAACAGGAGCCAGTCACAAAGATCGAATAGTGTGTGAATCCACTTACATGAAATGTCCAGAAAAGACAGCTCTGTAAGGACAGAAAGAGATTATTGGTAGCCTGAGGCTGAAGGTGAGAATGGAATTGCTTTGGAGTGAAGGAAGCGTTCTGAAACTGGATTGTGGGGACTTCCCGGGTGGTCCAGTGGCTGAGACTCCGAGCTCCCAATGCAGGGGGCCTGGGTTCCATCTCTGGTCAGGGAACTAGATTCTCTGTGCCCCTATGCCCTCCTCCAGGGGATCTTCCCAACCCAGGAATCGAACCCACGTCTCTTAGGTCTTCTGCATTGGCAGGCAGGTTCTTTACCACCAGCGCCACCTGGGAAGCCCCAACCAAGACCCAGCGAGGTTAAATAAATCAATAAATAAATTTTTAAAAAACTGTCATGTGATGAGGGTTGCACAGCTCTAGACTTAGTAAG